GACGTGTGCTCTTCCGATCTCCCCAAAACCCCAAAACCCCTACTAGTGAAATATAACAAAGATGTTAGAAATAGCCTTAATATTTTTTATAATAAATATAAGTTTTCTCTTAATAATTAAAGATTTCTTTATTATCAAATTACTGCAATATTCTCCTTCTCATCAGCTCTCGTATAATCCTCCCTTTTCATGTTAATTATACTACTGATTACTGTTATATCGCTCCTGAAAATTGTTGATCTTCTTCTAAAATCCATTGCTGCTAGACATCAGCCTGCTGGTATTATTTGCAGTTTAATTTAGGCTAGACAAGTTAGTTACTTAATGCTAGTATCTCCCTCTAGAATTTCCTTAAGCTTTATTAGAATTCCTGTAGAATCGGAAACTTGTATTTGTCTGGGGCTTTCCTTGGGGTACTACCTGAGTTACAATTGTCTGGAAATTCTAAGTCTTGTTGTTTATCGAACCAATTTGAATTGAGTTGTTATGCATCCTATTGATTGAAACCTAAATTTATGGGGATGGATTTTACATTACAGTGGGTGAGAACCCATTTTATAATTAGGAGCCTATATAGTTCATTTGTTAATCCCTGTTATTAGTTGAGGTTTAGTTATGCCTATATCTCTGGTAATCATTTGCACTCATAACAGTAATATCGTGATCTCGGGTCGGACTTTAACTATTGTTCAAGTCAATACTTCTACCCACTACTACTTCGTCATTGAAGTTATCATTCAAATTTTGTTTTAATTGCAAACTCTGCATTGTAGGTGGAGGAATTCTAGTAATCATCCGATTTCTATAAAGATTAATTTGGATTAGCTTTACAGAGTAATATATATATCTTTCTGAATAAATGTAAAAATACTTACTATTACATTTTCCCGATATTTTCATCTATTCTCTCCATGCCCATATCATCTAAATATTACTAATTTGTTTTATTCATCATTCTATTTCTAAAGGACGTCACATTTCCATTTGACTTTCCATAGATCTTTCTTAGTCGGTAACCTTTATCTGTGTGATGCTCGGGAATATCTCTTTCTTGTGAATCATTTTGATTTTCAATACTATTATCAAAGGTGTATAACTTTCTTGAAGCTACGCTGTTCTTCTTTTTGCTCATGGGGGGTATTTGAAAATTTTAACTGTTTTATCCTGAATTGTTGTTTAAAAATACCATCTCTTTGAAAGTATTTGAACGCATATCTTTAAATGTAGGTTGTGAATATAGTTATTACTAATTATTATTATTATTTAATTGTTAAAGCTCCTTCTCAAGTAGTTTAATTCTTTATTGTAGTTAGTTAAATGAATTCTCTGTTTAAAAACCTTCTTCAAGTTTCTTTTTTATCATTGTAAAATCACGATTGGATATCTTTAAATTATTAATTTCTAACTGCTTTTGATCTATGTTTATATCTACATAGTCATTTTTATGAGCAAGGGTCTTGTATTTTATCATTGCTGCCATCTCTTATTGAATTTTCTTTCCATTAATTTTATTATTGTTACCCAGTTTTGCAAACTCACTATCATCTATATTATTATTTTAATCTGTTTAGGATTTATTCCTTTTAACCTTCATTCTTTGTTTTATGAATTTCAGCTGAAAGTCACTATTGCCTAGAAATTGATCAATGATATCTTTGGTTTTTTTTGTTAGAGTTTCCTCAAGTTGTTTGTTGTCTAAAAGCTACTAGTAGAGAGTTTTTCTTTCTCTTTACTTTTTTTCCTCCTTTGTCTTATAGTGTTTCCAGATGTTTGTACAAATAATGTGATTTTCCAATTTCATGCTTACTTCATCCAATTTGATTTCCTGGAGATGAGATTTTTCCTCCAACTCAACTATAATTTTCTACAGATGATAAATGAGGTAAATTTAATTACTTATAATTATCTTTGAGTCATTGGAGTAAACTCATTCATCTTGAATAATTGCTAGTTCATTTTATAAATAACTTTAATTTCTAGCTTGAATTCCTATTGTTAATTAAATATTTGGATTAATTTAAATACTTAATACAACCCTCGCTCCAATTACTTGAGATCTTTCGGGGTTTTGGGGTTTTGGGGAGATCGGAAGAGCACACGTCTGAA